TTTGCTGGCGTCACACTTGATCACCAACAGATACTTGTCACCCGTCTTGGAGTCTCCCATGAAGAGATAGTCCCAGTGCAACAAACCATTTGGCTGGGTAGAGTGCAGGGCTTCCCCCAATGGTCGTGGCGCACCACCGGATACACTGGCACAATGCAGGCGGCGGTCCATGAAGAACTGCACGTCCTTCTCCATGGTGCTCCACCAGCAGAACGCCAACAAACTCTCAAGAGTATGACTGGCAGCCCGATGTCCGGCCAAACTCGCATGGGCACACACACAAGCGTAGCTGCAGTTCGCTTGCCACGTCTGGCACCCATAACACCTGGTTAACCAACCGTAGCGACCACGTCTCGCCGGAGTCGAGTTGGATTTGATGCTCGGCCAGCTGGCTAGAATCCAGGGGTAGAGCAACTGGAGTGTCAGTGTCCAGCCGTTCTCGTTGGGCGGCTCCGATGGCCACCAAAGTCGGCCACTCAAAGAAGCTGCTTCGCAAGGGAGATACCATCAACGGTTCTCGGCAGATGGCACAAATGGACTTCAGGGGCGATCCCCAACGCGAGAGCAGGTCGGTCCACACGTTCGTCTCTCCAGGTATGTCGCGAATCTCGTAGCTGTAGCCCATCAACAAAAGAGCCCAGCTTTCCAGCTTCTGGGCGGTGTACTTTGGTACAGAGGACACCACGGCTGTCGGGCTAAAGATGAACTTGAGATTGCCATGGTCAGTGTAGAGTGTGAACCCAGCTGCAGGATGCAGCAGGTAGTCAGCCCTGATCAGTGTTTCCACGATGGCTTAGGCTTCCTTCTCCACAATGGCCCAGCGTCCAGCGGATCCCGTGAATGTCCCGCTCAGGAACATGAGTGGCTCATGGGATTGAGCTTCCAAAGGTCGCTCCAGCCGGTCCGGTGGGACTTGAGTGATTACAGCACCCCAGTGCTCTTCCGAGGCGTGGGCGAACACACACAGCCTCATATCTGGCTTGGGATGGCTGAGTTCCACCACCTTGGCTAGAGCCTTCTTGGTGGCTTCCAGCGCGGCGGTATGAGTGTCATTCCAGCCGACATCAGCTAGCAGCACAGTAGCTGCCAACTGCTTGGTACGCTTCCCACCAACTGCAGCAAACACACGTTCCAGTACCGCCGACAGGTCTCGTACCAACACGTTGAAGCCAGGGATGGACATACGCATCCAGTTGAGCGCACACACATACTGCCGGAGGTCAGCACTTGTCTTGGGGGCTCCGGCAGTTGTTGCAAAGCCTCCACCCGCGCTGGGTCGTGTTTCACACCCGTCCCGCTGATGATGCGGCCACACCACTTGGCCTCCTTTGCGTAGAATTGTCACTTCTTCGGGTGCAGCTTCAGACTACGCTTAGCACAGACTTCAAGCACTGCAGCTAGAGCCGAAAGCAGGCCAGTTGGCGTTTTGTGGTAGCCCAGAAGGTCATCCAGCCACGCCAACAAACACCTGTACAGCTGCTCAGCAAACATGGCTTGAACGGTGGACTGGCAGCAGGCCACACTGTCGCTGCCACCTTGCATGACGCGGGTGGGCGTGTAGACACCGGTGTCCGTCAAGAAAGATAACATCTCTTGACAGCTCTTGTCCAAGGAGAATTGCCATTAGCCTTTGAAGAAGTCCAACATGAAAAAGCACGTGGCGCCACGCAAATGGCCCACAACAATTTCCAACATGGGCATCGGCCAGGCAATCTGCTCCGTCTGGCTGTTGACAGGGCGCAGGTCCACCGTCATACGGAACTCATCCTTGGAATGGGGCTTGCGTACGATCAAGGGTGCACACGCCCATCGGCTGGTAGGGTTTCGATAGATGAAACCAGCCTTCTCCAGCTCTTCCACATGCTTATGCATGAACTCGCGTTGAGGGAGAGAGTAGCGCCTCGCCTTGCAGCGAACTGGATTGGAGACCCTGGTGGGATGCATCTTTAAGGGGGGCATGTCCACGGGCGGATCGTGGCCAAGCGTAAGCCGGAACACGTCCACATACTTGGCCAAGAGCTTGGATAGACCCAGGGCATACTCAGTGCCACAGCCTGCTACCATGGCTCCAGCCACCATGGCATCCAAAACAACCTGAACATTGGCTTGTTCCCCAGCGGGGTCCACAGGTGTCATGTCAGGGAAACATGCGGCCAGTTCCATGGGCACCAGAGCCTCTTCCTCATCGGCCAGGTCATCCACAGCTCTTGCTTGGTCGCAGCATGACTGCCTTTACCACCCCACTGGTTGACTCCACGTCCCCCATGTCATACTCGCTGCTAACCGAGGCCGCATCACGTAGCATGGACTGTGGGTCGTAGCCAAGTTTGTACATTATGGGACGGCTCAGCAGGATGTCTCCAACACCAGACGGCAGGTCACCAGAAGAGAGCCAGCACTTGACGTTAGCTAGTACCAGCGGACCGACATCTGTCTCGAACTTGAGCGTCAGCTTGACTTCCTGGGTCACTGTGTGGCTTGGACCAACGAACCCACGCACCGAAATAGGTGCGGGCAATTCTGTCGCCACCATCACACGCCCGGCGTCTTGCAGCCGCTTTAGCGTCCTTGGCGGGATCACAATTTGGTCCGCTCCACTGTCGAATGAGGCGTCCATCGCTACCACTTGGTTGGCGGTACACACAACTCTCGCAGCACACAGGATGGCCGTCGTTTCATTCGGCTCAACTGTTTTCAAAGTGGCAAGTGGTGAGGCTCGCCTGTTGATGGACCGAGCCAAGGTCATATGGGCCGAAACCAAGAAAGAAGGAAAGCCTGGAAGGGCTGTCACCATTGCCAAGGAGGTGACACGTGACTACGGCGACAGCTTTGTCCCCTTTCTTCGGATGGTCCCGGTTTCCTTTGAGCTTCTTCACTAGTTCCTTCACCTTTTCCGCCACCGGCTTGGGGGGAAGAGGGGCAGCTTGAACCACAAGTTCGAACTCGCCGTAACGCCGCATGTATTCCGCAAGCCAATTCTTGAAAGATCGTGCATCATTCTTGTACGCACGGTTCTCGTGAAGCTTCAATAGTTCGCGCACACGCTTCTGATAAATTTTGCATAAAAAGAAAATTTTGGCGGAACAGCAAGTGGCGTGATGGCCGCCATCAGGGAATCCACAGTCAGCTTGGGTTCGGTCTCGGCGAAACCTTCCATGTTTAGACGGACAAGCGCAGCTTCAAAGTCGCTCACCAGCTTGGAGACTCGCGATTCGGCTGAGATGATAGACCCGTCCATCTTAAGCTTCCCCATAGCTAGGTTGAGCTTAGTCATGTCCACTGGGTCACCGTTTCGGGCACTCAGGAAATAATCATGCCAGTCTTCATCGTTTAGTTCATGGCTCGGCTTGCCAATTTCCCAAAACGCTTTGCGTTCCCCGCCAGCGGGTCGATACAGCTGCTGAGAGGCATCTGGCGAATTTGCTGCCCACCAGGACGCTGTGCATTGGCCAGACGGATCTCACGCATGTACGCTTCACACTGGTCCATGAACCGACGCTTCTGCACCTTCGTGCTTCCATTAAACGTCGGGGCTTTGGGCACCTCTTGAAATTCGTACACCATATGCACACCAACAGTCGCCGGGGCTTGGACAGTTTGAGGGGCTGGGGTCGCCGTAAACGCATGCCACCTGGCGCTGGTACGTCGCCGCATGTCTTCCAGCGCTTCCGCTTGTACAATCGATGATGCAGCAGCCGCTCGTAGCCCTTGGTCGTGGTTCTCAGTGGTACGATGCTGGGCTTCCAGCTGAGCCATCAGTTGGTTCTGCTGGTCACGCTGCAATGCCAGCTCAGCCATCAGTCGCTGGTTGAGTTCCATGTGGGCATTGTCCTGCATCTGTTGCTGTTGATGGAGTGACATCAACTGTCCGTAAGTGTGTTGGCCTTGGCCCCCAACAGCTTGTTGCACAGTGTCGATACGCGACGCCTGTGCGTCCACAGCTTGGCCCACCTGGTGACGCAGCTGCTGAACAGCCATGTCGGGAGGATACTGGGCAAACGGCGGAGCAGCGGAGGCGTAGACGGCCTCCTGGGATCGGGTTCGGGTCAGCACGAGGGCAGGACCGGTACGTGGCGACAGAGGGGTCGAAAGTGCTTCGTCCTCCATGGTCACAGCATTGAAAGAGTAAGTGCGCGGCCTAGTCGACTCAGGCAGCACGCAGGGAACTCGGGCACGAAGTGTGTCCGCATGAGCAATTCACGAAAGAATTCTTTGTTGTCGCTCCAGATAGGATAGACAGTAAGATGGCAAATTCCAAAGTGATCGATGAAGTTAGGTTCACAGTCGTAGCTGGCTAAAGGTCTCGAGCGGGTCCTCTAGCTAGATGTATTCCACTCGGCTACATCCGAATTCATCTCGATAAACGTATGCAAAGTGGAGTGAGCCAGTAAGAGCCCAGGATTCGGGGAAAATCACAGTTCTCGGACGTCCGAGAAACTTGAAGTCTTCTCACCATGGCTTTCACCGGACAACATGCACTGACAAAGGCATCTCTGGTGTCGTCTTGATAAGCGATGCGCGCGCTCCACCCTGTCTGAGTGGACTGGCGCGGTGCTGTGATCACACGTCGAGCTGTACAGGGAACGACGGAATGCAAGGCCTACATTTTCTTCGACTTCAAGATTGTTTTGCCGTTTGATTGGCTAGCCTACTACGAAGTACGAATTCGGTGCAACCAATGATTGCAAGGTATCTGTATTTTTATTCCTCGAACATATAGCACTTAAAAAATTCCAAAGGGAATAATATTGTGCAAGCTCCTGTGCCATCAGAAGCAAACTTGGTAGCATGGATTGTAGTGGGTCATTCATTGACACAGTAGATCAATCAGTTGAATTCCAAATAGAAGTGACTGATAGATGAGATCTAGAATTAGCGTAAGCTTATTGACGCGGTGGCGCAGTGGTTTAGCGCGACGGCATTACAGAAATAGAGGAAGGGGCCCGGGTTCAAGTCGTCGTCAACATTGTACGTGCACTCCTTGCCATAGGCCCAGTACTCACGATGAAACTCGCAGGCAAATTCATCCCGAGTTTCGGCCAGAAACACTTGGCTTTTCTTGCATTTCGTTCGGCGTTGTCTCGAGAATCCATGATGTTTGACAAAGCGTCGGAGCATCTGCTGGATGGACTTGTAGCCGGACCCGGGACATTTGGTTTGGAGGTAAGCCATGAGCCAGTCT